TCTACAACTTAAAGTGTTAGAATATGAAACTACCGAATGACTAAAATTATTCCCATCTGTCATGTTCTTAAAACAAACACAGTTTTTCAGAGCCACTCTCTATCTGATAGAATCCAAGTCTTTATTAAATGTGAATTTTACCTCACCTGACTGTAATTTACTTTAATTTTGTTAGCCATGGAAAAAGAAAATCATTTTAGTAATGTTTTTCTTCATTTCTTTAGCAATAGCATGATCTTGCAACGTATAAAAGATTTCCAAGTAGATTGGACTGATGGACGTACAAGAGCAAAAGTTCAGAAGCATGGTGCACAAAACAAGCATGAAGATCCATTGAAGATATTGTTAAGAACTAAAGATACTTATAATCTGCTTAATTGGGAGAGAAAGACAATGTTCATTACTAAATTCAAACTCTCTGCAAGAGCTTTAAATTTATTTGAGGCTTATTTTTTCTGGAAAGAAAATATAATCTTAGTCCCTCTAATGACCTTGTATGCCCTTTCTGTCCAAAGAGTAAACTCATGTCATAACTGCTCGATACAATAATGAAACTGAGATATACAATACTATCTGGACATCTGGTGGCAGCCAGGGAGGTGGATAGACATAAAATAAATTAAATGTACAGATAACTGTGAAATAATTTGGTTTCAGTATCTAACCCCAACAAAAAATTGACTAGAGATTCTCAAATAGAGCCAAATTTATTGACTCAGTTGCAACCCCTTTCCTTTCTTTGATGGAAAAGAAATGCTAAAGAAGAGGAGAATGGTAAACCTTTTAGCACTCACACAGGGAGAAAAGAAATAAGCTTACCTAAAGGTTATTAAAATATCAATTTTTGTTATAGCATTAAAAGAAACAAACCAGACAGAGATTCTAGGCGGATGCAGATTTTGAGTGTTCCAGATTAGAATGGGAATCAATATTTCCCTAAGACTCTGGGGGACTATTTGATTTCTCAAGGAAAGGATTTAGTGAGGTCAGCCAGACAGGCTCATTCCCTAGCCCAAGGCCACCAGAGGTACCATTGTTTGGATAAAGAGTACATTATCTTGTAAAACTAGTGTGGCATCTTAAATCTTGGGAGACGGACTTCCTTCTAGTGGATAAATGGTCTTTTTTTGCTAAGATATGAGATATATGTGAAAATCATATAAATATAAATATTCATATCATATATATGTGTATATATCAATCCTGGGGAAAGGAGACTGATATCTTGATCTATGCTTTCCCCTGCCACCTCCACCACCTTGCCTGAAATCTGGCAGTTACCATTCACTGCTCACTTAGAGTTTATATGTATTTTTTCCTTAATCACGCATCTTTACTCAATGCCTTGAGTCACGTTAGCAAGCCTTCCTCCCCATCCCTTCCCCACTTCTTGTTTTCATGAGGATGAAGTGTTTGCCTTTCATTCCAATGCTGTAGTAAGGTTTCTCAGGCTTACTGACTCTTCTCTGGCTACTTTTATGTGTAGGGACTCCAAGCTTCAAGGGCAAGACACATAATTTATCCAACTCTTCTCTTAAAATTTAATACTCTTATGCTGTGGTCTGTGGACCTATTTCTTCCTCTACTCATTTCTGGCAGTCCATGGTCACTGGAGCCAAGTACCCTTATTTTTTCCAACCAGGACCTCCCAAGGAGTCAGCAGCAGATTTCATATACTTGCGGATGAGCTGGGGTTTCTGGGCACAGGCAGGTTACTCAACAGTTTCCAATGATACCAAAGAAAGAACAAAAACAAGCAAAACCTGATGACATTTTCTATGCTATCCTGATGGTGGAAATATGAATTAGCATATAGTACAAACAAGCAAGGAGTCCAAAATAATAATATAGAGTTAATCTCTTAGGTGTAATGAAGAAATTACTGGAGGGAATAAAAGAGAGGATATGTCATACAAATATAGGACTGGAAAATAAAAAATGATTTCCTTAATGGAACCATCCTTCCCCCAAGAGCTAGTATTTTATTTGACATTCCAGAAATTTCCAGGAAATTTGTCTAGTATATGTTTTCATGTATATCTTTTCTAGTACTTTATTTAATGACATTTTCCTTTGTGCTTACTGCTAGCAACTTATCTCCATCTTCAATATGGTTTTTTAATCTTACATATTTCTATTTTATTTACTCTTAGATTAACTGAGAACTTCTCACCAATAAAGACGTCTCCTCCTCATTGTCTTAACTCTACTGGGACAAAGGTAACCATCCACAGGACAGCTAGCTCTTGGATGTGCAATCTGGAAACACAGAGGCTAGCAAGGAGTGTATGGTATGTACGTGCTTTCAAAAATAGTAAAGAATTACGGTTTGCTGATTACAAATGGTGATTAGAAGGTTACAAATACATTCAGATGAAGAAATGCCCCAATGAATTGCTCTTTTAACTTTTTTCCAGCAATAAAAGAAGTAACTTTAGAGAAGTTTCTTATCCAGTAGGTCTGAGGTGGGGACCCAGAATTTGCATTTCTAACAAATGATTCAGATGCTGATGCTGCTAGTTCAGGGACTACACTTTGAGAACACTGCTTATTTCAGTGGTCATGTCAAGGGTTCACGGAGGAAACATGCTGTATGAGCCATCATACAGCTCACATTCATCAGAGGCACCAACCACTTTTGTATTTGCTTTTCATCGGTATGGGGGAAAGTACAAAGCGATATTGAAAGCATGCACTTAGGGGAGTAGAGAGTAGCAAAGGAGAAAGGCGTGGTGACTTGGAAGTTTTTTTTTTATTCATATGTGGGGAGCAGGGTGTGATTTAGTTTTTTGTTTCAAAAGGTAGAGCAGCAGTTCTCAATTCTCAGAATCACCAGTCGTGTCCACAGAGATTCGGATTCAGTAGGTCCTTGGATAGGATCCAAAAGTCTGCATGTTTATCCAGCATCCTGGATAATTTTAAAGCAGATTTTCTAAGGATTACACTTTAAGTATTAAATATTAATGATTTTAGATGAAGAGAGAAATCCAAGTGAAGATTTCATCCTACATGGGAGAGCAATCAAAGATGCTATCAGGTATTTTCTTTTTAAGAGTTGTATGTAGAAGGTTAGGCACTAGAACAAGGGGCAGGGATTTATTTAGTTATTTTTTAAAAAAGAAGCAGGGAAGGAAGCAGAGCAGAGACTGACAATGAAGACAGGAGTCAGTGAAGACCAAATGAGCTGATCAATTAAGGGGGGATATGATTTTCATTTGTGCAAAATGACAAAATATAACAAGGAAGCAATCTGGATGAGGAAATTCCTTTTGATTTTACGCAGAGGGCTAGCTGGGAAGAGTTTTCCTTTCAAAAGTCAGTTGTGAAAAGATAAAAAGTAGGAGTGGATGGCAGAAGGAAACCAGGTGGCATACTAAGGAGTTAGAGCAGAGTGGAAGTGAAGGTCACTGGGCATTAAGGACATGCCATCAGCAAGGAAGATTCTCGTGGCAACAAGACGTGAAATACTGCAGGTGTAGCCAATGCAGACCTGGGGAATGAAAATATGTATACCCAGTCTACTTAATCATTAAAAAGAATGAAAATACTACTCTGTATGTGTATTTATGTGTGTGTGTGTGTGTGTGTGTGTGTGTGTGTGTGTCAGAGAGAGAGAGAGGTAAAGATATCAGGCCAATGACACCTGTTTGGATGTCATGAGTGTGTCTGAGTATTCGATTTTCTGGCATTAGGAGTGTCAAGGAGCTAATCTCTCTTGTATTAAAAACAGCAGTAAAGATGGGAACCTTTGAAAGAATAGCCTTTAGAAGGCAAGAGGATCAAGACATAATATTCAAATATTAAGAAAAATGTTCTGTCTCTGGAGTAACAAAGCATAATCTTGTTTTTAGTCCTGCTGTGTGCTTACATGTATGTATACACAAGACTTCATTTTTATAAGCACATCATCATGTCCTTTAGTTCTCCTCAAATTGCAATGCTTGTTTGATTTCAGATCTTTGCTTGAACTGCTTCTTCACCTGAAATATCTTTCTTTTTCCTTCCCTAACAGAACTCTAGCTTCAGAACCCTAAGATTTTCCCTGAGTATTCCTGAGTTCACTGACATTATCTATCTCTGAATTTAAATCATAGGCAAGGAATGCCTTCTATGCACTCCCCTGTTCTCCTGAGCTCAAGCATAGAAAGTTGATATTTGGGAGGTTCCCAATAAACTATTGTTTAATGAATTAATAAAGAAAATATGGGTTGAATCCTCCAGTAATAGAAACTTTTGGCTTCTTCTCCAGCGTCCATTCCATTCCACCCTCTCCCATCATGTAATAGCCACTGGTTTGCTGGGGTTGACTCCACCCCTAGCTCGAGGAATGGGCCTTGATTGCCTAAACCAGTCAGTGGAATGCCACGCCTCCATCTACAGTGACTGGTTCAGGCATAGAACTGGTCCAATCAGAATGAAGCTCAGGACTTCTGCTCTATAGTTGGGAGTTCTTAATGGACCGTGTGGTGTGCAAGTGTGATGACTGGAATTGTTGCAATCAGTTTGCTAATGTGGGGGAAGACAGCTTGAGGGTAAAGCTAATGCCCAAAATGCAGGGCATCACTTAGAATGGGAGTCATAAATCTGATCAAACCATGCTGAAGCTACTCTGGAGGCTATAGCCATTTGAGCCAATATATTCCCTTTATGGTTTAAGTCAGGGATGAGATTATCTATTACTAATATGCCTTCCTCTTGATTTTAAATCTTTGGTACATGATATGTAACTTGTCTTCTTGCAACTTAGTTTATTTAGGAAAATAGCAGCACTCTTGAACAGCATTTACTCCCCTGGTGAGAGCGTTATGTATTTTTGCTGCTTATGCTGATTCTAATGAAAGTCATGTTCACAAGTGGTAAAATAATAAATTTGATTGAGAGCTGTTTAATTCATTCTAATTGTGTAAAGATGGGCATTTAGCGTACATAGGCACTATGCGAAAGATTAGTGTTTATTGAATATTCCTCAGTGTTTCTGGCAATACATTGAATATGGATACCTTTTCGATGAAACTGAAGAGACCCCAGCAGACATATGGATTTTAGCATCTCTGTCGTATACATTTCCAAGCAGCACTGCAGCTGGATGTAAAGCCGACAGATTTCTGGGTGGATCTCACCGTCTTCTGGGCTGCAATGGAATGAAAGAGAAAAGCTGTGAACATTCTCCAGATTTCACTCAGCAGCCATTTGTCTCAGCTCTGAGAGGGGAAAATGCTCAATAAAGATTCCTTAAAACCTTGATCCTAAAATATAGGACTTCCTGCTTTCAAACCAATGACCAATGTGACAGTTCTTACATAAGTGTCTTTCTGAGTAACAGCTCTTAATTTTTTTCCCCTTCAGCAGCAGGCTTCTGCTGGGAGCTTAAAATCATAAATGCTTTACGTAATTGAAAATATCAGACATTTTCAATTTAGCTGTTGGAACAAATTTGCAAAATATATTTAAACCATAAGAATCTCCTAGGCTGCAAGAAGAGATTAAAATCCCTTGTTTTTAGGGAAACTAATAAGAGCTAGTCAATTACCAGTTATAAGACAGCTCTTTACTATTAGGGCCCCAGCATAATACGATTAGAGAGTCAATTTACAATTATATTTATCAAGGTTTTTCATCTCAGTCTGAAGGATATTCCTTTATTGTTTATTATGGCTGATTTACACAAGGTCAAATGTTTTTAATGAAAAAATAAAAATTTTATGAAAAAATAAATGCAATACATTTCTAATAATTATGCTTAACAACCTAAAGCTAAATAAACACTGAACTTATGCTCTAAAGTGTATTCTAAAGTCGTTGAGTCTTTCTCTGTTAAATATAACAAACCATATAAATGTGAATATGATAAAACATGGAGCAATCACTTTTGTTTTTTGATTAAGAGGAAAGAAATTAGTTGTTGAAAAAATAAGATTCAATTTTATATGCAACTATTAAAACAACAGCATGTGTTGAATAAAGCAAACTAAGAAAAGGGGTAAAGGTTAGAGATAAATCAGAAATGAAAGAAAGCCTAAAAGTGAACTCTGTCAAAAGTCCTAATGTGTTGTGTTATCTTTACTTCTATTCCCATTCATTTAAAAAGCAATGAAATCTAATTAAATTATGTAGCATTTGGATTTGATTCTTTTGTAAAGTGGGTTGGTGGCAAAATGTCAGGGATAATTATCAGACAGTAAAGAGTGGCTTCATTTTTAAGTTCTGGAATCACGGTAGAAAGAATTTGTACATACACAGCACTTTACAGTGATAATTAGTTTTCATTTTCAACACTTATTTCGTACACGAGCCTATCTACCCATGTGGCTTATATAACAGGAAAACGCAAAATTCTTTGCCTCAGTATCAGTGACGCCTGCACAGTCATCCTATGCCTTTCCTATGTCAGATGGAACAAAGTGCCTCATAAGAGCTCACGTGCAAAATATGGCTTTATCTGAATGCTAAAAGACATTACTTTTTCATTTGTGACTCAAAGGTCCAGCCCTGGTTGGAGGCAAGTGTATCTCTGGGGAAAGTCTCAGGTTTTCTTTCAGAGCTCCCTCCCACAGGTGCCTTCCACCCTCAAGTTGTCCTCCTGCTACCTGGAGTTTCCCTCACCCGACTCCACCCTGCCACCTACCCACACACACACACCCTCTCATTATTTCACATCATCTGACACCTTTCAAAATGTCTCTGATTGTGTCCCATTCTCTCACAGCCCTGCTAGATTCTCAACAGATAATGGGCATTGGTGGTTTGTATAAGAAAAAGTGATTCTGGTATATTATCTACTAATACATTGATTTTCATAGAAAAATCTGAAGATAATGTCTTATTCCAAAGTCAGGGTAGAGGGAAAATATTTTAAGGCAGGCAGCAGATCTTTTCTGTGCTGCTTTATCATCTCCATACCAGCTGCCTATTTTACCTACATATTGGCCCCGGTGGCTCATGTGCATATTTTTCAAAGTTTTATTTTATTTTTAACTGACACACTGTAATTATACTTTTGACAGAGTTCACTTTTAGGCTTTCTTTCATTTCTAACTTATCTCTAAACTTTACTCCTTTTCTTAGTTTGCTTTATTCAACACATGTTATTGTTTTAATAGTTGCATATAAAATCGAATATTATTTTTTCAACAAGTAATTTCTTTCCTCTTAATCAAAAAACAAAAGTGATTACTCCATGGGGAATGTGTGATGTTTTGGTACATGTATACATTGTGTAATGATCCAATCAGAGTAATTAGCAAGTTCATCACCTCAAATATTTATCATTTCTTTGTGGTGAGACCATTCGGAATCCTCTCTTCTAGATATTTTGAAATATAAAATATGTTATTGTTAACTATAGTCACCCTACTGTGCAATAGAACGCCGGAACTTATTCCTCTTATCTAACTCTAACTTTGAAAAATACAGAATGCTTCATGAATTTGCATGCCATCCTTATGTAGGGGCCATGCTAATCTTTGTATCATTTCAATTTAAGCGTATGTGCTGCCAAAGTGAAAGCTCATATGCAGATTTTTAAAAAACCCTATAATAAATCTGCTATATGCATTGTACATTTTACGAGTGGGACAATTAGCCAGTACAGTATCATTCCAAGCCACGGAGTATTCTTATTTTCAGAAGTACAAAATATGTGCCTAGTGGCTTAGTTCCAAAACTAAGCAAACTTCATATATAGATGACATTTTATGTAACTTAAACAAATGACTACCATATTAACATATTTTAAGAACCACTATATTTTATTTATTATTTTACGACTAGAAAGAGAAAGAGAAAGAAGGCAATGTATTAAGTGCTTCTGTGAAAAGGCAAATCAAACAGATTAAAATGCCTAATTCAAAATATTCCTTTGGGTACCATGTCTCTAATGCTTGTGTAATCCATGGATATTCTAGAAACTGTGGAACCATTGCAGCCCTCATAAATATTATGGGAAGGAACTGCATAGATGCTACCAGAAATACAATCTGCCTAACAAAAATTAATTGATGCTAAAGTTGCATCATAGATTTTCTGGTTAAAAAATTCATACATACACTCATACATTATCCTTTAATATCTTGGAAAATTGAAGTGTAGAGAAAGAAAGGAACTATTTAAAGAACAGTGGAAAAGCTAAAGTATCTTTATGTTAGAGTTTCATGATGCCCAGATCAAATTACATTAACCTCAGGCCTTGTACAATTTATTTCTTCCACTTGAGAGTTCTAAGATGTGTTATTGTTACAGATTGCTAAAAGTTCATTGAACGAAAAACTGTCAAATGAGTTCTAATATATTTACTGTTATAAGCAGTGGACTGGAATACATTTTTGAGAAGCATTAAGTGCATTTAGGTTATTTTCAAAACAAATGAGGATGAGATGAAACATTGGAGAATGGAGGAAAAGCCAAGAAAATAGCAATTCAAAAGCTTGAAACTTCCTAGGGATAAATTACAAGACCTAAGAAAACATTTACATTAAAATAAAACTGGACCTGTGGACTTCCTCCAAGAACTGGAAGCAACTTCACTTGAAGGTAACTTTGCCACATATTATTTCTGCTTCATATAAAATGATCCACTCTTATTAATCAAAGTTTAGGTCTATGAAAGTCATTCCAAGAGTGACTCATTTAATTTGGTCAAAAACATTTTATGAGTTAGTAACTAGGTTGTGATTATTTATTTTTTCTATTGAGTCTAAGTCGAGAGCTAATCTTAACATTTTGATTAATTTCAAAACCTTAGTATTAAAAGAAAAACCCTTAAAAATTAATTTCAACCAATTTCCAGTGATTTAGAGCTCAAGTTGAATCCAAAACATTTAAAATAATCACCAAATTATGAATCTGCTCAATCAACTCCTTAAAGGTGAGAATCAGGATTTAATGACTTAATCATATTGCTTAGGAAACCTGAACCGCTGTAGGAGGAGGAGGACATAAAAACAGATATTGCCTAAGTTGTCTCTTGATAATGGAACCTCTTTCGATTGTGAATATTCTTATTTTGTAATTCAAAAAGTAATAGGAAGACCTCCAAAATGGCTAAAATTAAAAAGACTGCCATGTAATTATTTGGGGAGATGTAAATGCTCAGCTTTCAAGTATTAATGAATATCTATCACCTAGATTCTACAATTAACATGATATGATACCTGCTTTATTATATATCCACCTGTCTGTTCATCCCTCTGCCCAGCTGGCAATCCACATTATTCTTCTGACGTTGCAGACATCAGTAAACTTTGCCCCTAATCAATTCACCATGAGTATCATAAACCGGAGTTCTGTCAAATGTTGGTGATGATGTGGAGCAATGGAAGCTCTCATACATTGTTGGTGGAAGTTAAAATGTTATACAACTCCTTTGCAAAAATGTTCTGGAAGCTTCTTATAAGACTAAACATACATCTAGCCTATGACCTGGCAATTCCATTTCTAGGTATTTGGCCAGGAGAAATGAAAACATATTCACAAATAGATCTCTACAAGCGTGTTCATAGTATTTATTTAGAATGACCAAAAAAAGAAACAGCCTAGGTGTTTGTCAAGAGGAAAATGGTTGAGAAAATTAGTACATTCCTACAATACAATGATACGCAACAATTAAAAGGAGCAAACTTCTTATACTCAAAACAACCTAGATGAATAACAAAAACATTATCTTGAGTGAGCAAATCCTTACACAAGAGTAAATACTGTACGACTCCATTCATATGAAGCACTACAGCAGCAGTCCTCAACCTTTTTGGCACCAGGGACCGTTTTCATGGAAGACAATTTTTCCATGGACCAGGGAGGCGGGGGATGGTTTGGGGATGATTCAAGTGCATTACATTAATTGTGCACTTTATTTTTATTATTACTACATTGTAATATATAATGAAATAATTATACAACTCACCATAGGTTGGGGACCCCCACTCTAGAGCAAGTAAAACTAATAGATAGTGAAAAACATTAGAACGGTGGTGGGGAATTGGCTGAGAAGGGGCATGAAGGAACGTCTGGGAAGAGGGTAATCTGTATCTAGACAGAGGTTTTGGTTACATGGGTGTATACATTTGGCAAAACTTATTGAATGGTACACTTAGAATTTGTGGATTTGATTTTACTTTAAAAAAATTTTACTTAAAA